CAGGGCTAACATTAGCCCGTCTGTGTAGCGGCCATGGCTAACGTTAGCCCAACTGCGTGGCGGCCAGGGCTAACATTAGCCCGTCTGTGTAGCGGCCATGGCTAACGTTAGCCCAACTGCGTGGCGGCCAGGGCTAACATTAGCCCATCTGCGTGGCGGCCAGGGCTAACGTTAGCCCGTCTGCGTGGCGGCCAGGGCTAACGTTAGCCCGACTGTAGCGGCCAGGAATAACGTTAGCCCGTCTGCAGCGGCCAGTGCTAACGTTAGCCCATCTGCAGCAGCCGGGGCTAACGTTAGCGTGTCTGCAGCGATCCTCTCTCTGCACAGCCGTGTATGAGGTGCCGCTGGCTCCGATGGAGGTTTTTTTGTTTTATTTGGCAAAATATTAATTAGATTTGTGTTTATCTTATTGTTACTGTGTTAATCATTATTCCCACACTAAATTAAAAAGTAGGAATTTAATATTATTTAGAGGCTATTAATAACAGGAGGTGAAATGCAGCTCCAGAGGAGCTGAGCATGTGGTGATGTCATCAGTACGCGTCTGTTCCAGTTGACCCATTTTAATGCTGCGTGTTCCTGTTCTCCCAGAGTTTAGACATCCTTATGTTCTTCTCAAGAAGATACTTGGAGAGAACACGAGTCCGTACTCGCGTTCTTGTGAATTGAGAAACGGCCAAAGATAAACTAGTAAACAATACCATCAGGGACCATCAGGGACCGGTCCTACCAGAAACACTTGTTTTCCAAAGGTTCCTATCTCCGCACTGAATGAGCATTAAGTGCATTAACTGAGGGAATGCACACATTATATTGGCTGTTAGAGGAACAAATACGGTTTGTTGAATATTTGCAACAATAGGCGACAAGGGTTTAAAAAAGTAAAGCTTTCTGAAACTTAAAAGTTATTCTTTTATCCTAGGTTTTTATGTAAAGAGCCATTTTCTGTCAGGAGGTGAATTTCTGAAATTTCTGAATTTCCTTTAAATAATGGAAGAAATCTTACATTAAATCAAGAAAAATAATAAAAGTAGATGTTAGGTGAACAACTTAGAGAGCTATAGGGAGAAAGATGAGAGGCAACACTCTAAACAGAGATCTCCAGACCGCTGCTTTATTTAATTTATCTGATTATGAGCCGTGGTTTCTGTCTGAACCTCTTCCTGGTGGGAAACGACTCAACGAGTCTGTGCTTAGACATGATCAATAACTGTGGCCATAGAGGCTTTTCTCTTAGAGCATCTAATATAAACCCTGTGACCTCATGTTAGGTGCTGCCGTGTCAGCGAGGTTTTTTTTTTCTTTTACCTTGGTGGCCAACAGTCTGGTCAGGTAGATCTCAGAGACCATCTTGCTTCCCCGGTCTCCCTCCCTCTGGTCGCTGTGCTCATGGTTCTTGACCAGGTGCCACAGTTTAGTCCCTGTAACACATGATGGACCTTCATCAGAGGAACACAGAGTCTACCAGAGGACCTGGAAACCTCCCTAAAAAACAAACAGGACGCCGTGATCCTGTTCTGTAGCTCCAGCAGTACCTGTCTCCTGGTCCGGGGTGATCATTGGAGCTCTGGACCTCAGGCTGTCTGGACTGCTGGACGTCCGAAGTAAAGACTCTGATGATCCAAACAGAAACGCATGAGAACAAAAACAGTTATGGAGGACATGAACCTTCAGACACAGAGTTAAATCTTAGCTTTAATTTCAGTTAGCCTGGAAATCAACACTATTTCTGACATTTTGAACTGAGAAAGCTTCTTATTTGGAAGAGAAACGCCTTCAAACTTGGAAACAAAGTCCAGTGGATTGTTTTTTATTTTTACAGGTTTGTAAACTTTTTTTTTAAAGTGAATTATGAACATGAGCTAGTTCCTTTTAACTACATTGGCCCTAAAACTACTGTTTTAGCCTTGATTTACTAAAGGCGAGAAGCAAAAAAAAAAAAGAACTTTTAGAAACAAATATAATTAAAAAAAAAGGTTAGAAGCTGTAGTGAGACAGAATCTAAAAATAAAAGTCCTTGCAAAACGCCACCCACAGTGTTAACAGTGGGTTCAGTGAAAGAAGTTAAAAGTTTGATGCTATGGATGCGCTATAGGTACCAGATCTGCTCGGGTTTTATTTATACTCCGTTTGTGTTTCATAGGTTGTGTACTAATGAACTATTATGATATATAATGTGTGATTCATCGTTTATTAACTCTTCCTAAAGATCATTCCAGATAAAGGTGATGCAACGGACAGGTTGTGAAAGAGGCCGGAACATCCTCTATCACATGTTGGGTTGTAAAAGAGGCCTGAACATCCTCTATCACATATTTCTTCTAAACATGTGTTCTTGGAACAATTCAATTGTAAAACAACCACATGCTTTGTTTATGTGCTGAGGCTCAAAGTAAGATCATTTTGTTTCGCTTTCCATTAGTTAAACCTCAGCTTGTGTAATTAGGGACATCCCCTGACTTTAATAAATAACGAGGAGAAAGCTGAAGACGGCAGAGTGGGGTGGAGATTTGTAAACTCTGCAGTCTCTTCCTACTCTCCTCGCGAGTAACTAAATTAATTGTCTCTGTGCCTTCTTCCTTTCCCTGTATGTATGTATGATGTTTTAGGTGCTTGGACCTGACACTGAATGTCGCCACATGATGTAAAACATTGTGGTCGCCCAGACAACGATAACATCACGCAGCGTCGGTGCGCCAAGTCGGTAACATCACTAGTAGGACGTCTGGTCCCCCTACCATATCAACAATCTGATGTTTCAGTGAGTGAGTGCTTGTTGCTATGATGCGTCTTTGCTCAGCAGCTTCGCTCATTGTAAACCGACCAATCAGAGCACAGCTCATCTAAATATTCATGATCAAACCATAAAAGGAAGAAAACCTGTCGTTTCATTCTAGGGCTTTTAACCAGGCTGCATTAGGGCTCATAGATATTCAGAGACCTTAAGGACCAGAAACAGATACCCTATAGAATCAATCTATCACTACTTTAATAAAAATAGTAAAAATAAGCTGAGATTTTTAGTGTCTCCTTGTTAAATCGCAGAGCTCAGTCTGTCTCAGAACGCAGCACTTTACTTCCAGACTGACAATGATTGTTTTCTACTTTCGGCTACTTTAGATCATCAATGAAATGTAAAATAATTGCAAATGTAGGGAATAATATGTTGAAACTCCAAAAGAGATTTGATCCTTAAGAAACGGATGCAACAGTTCGTCAGAGTGGAGTTGCCGTATGTCATAAGAAGGGGCGGGGCCCTGAGCAGATCTGGAAGCTACAGGCGTTCTCTTTAGTGATGTGAATGAACGGTTTGTTGCTTTCATCAGTAACTGGCTCTAAATTAACACGGTTAGTCAGGAAATGAAGGTCCGGTTCTGGTCCATCCACAGCGGCTCACCGTATCTGCTCAGCGATCTGGTGAAGGTGAAGGAGTTGGCGATGTTGTAGGCAGAAACCTGCTTCTGGACCAGCGCCACCAGCGAGCCATCTGTTACCTGGCAACACACAGACACACAGTCAGTCGGCGGACTAATTGTCCCCTCAATCAGTCGATTGTTATCCTGTCAACAATCTGGATCTCCTGCGAGCGAGTCGCTGCAGGAGCTGATGGAGAGCCGGGCCTGATTTGGAGCGAGGCGGCGCCGTCCGACTGTTTTCTGTTATTATCACCGTAATTATCCTCCTCTCTGATTATCCCCTCAGTCCTGCTGCTTCCAGGCTCCAGCTTTAATCAGGAAACAACCAGGAAGAAAAGGACCGACTTCCTGGTTCAGAACTCCCCGCCAACCGGGTCTTGGTTCCGTACGGCTGACCCATTCCCGGCTTCAGTACCTGGTAGTGAGCCAGCGTGTTCAGCCTCTTCCAGTCGCTCTCGATCTTGGTGGTCACGTCCTCGTCCTGCAGGATGATCCGGGTCAGGCGGCCCTGTCGCCACTCTGAGAACACAGACACACAGCTTCCTCAGAACCAAACCAGAACCTTCCAGCGACCCGCTGATGGTGAGGTCGTGTGAGCTGGTACCGAGGTCCATGTCGTCGGCCTGCGGTCTCTGAGAGAACGGGATGCCTTTGTAGACGGCGTCCAGGAGTTTGTCTTTCACCTGAGTCACCGTGTCACAGTTCAGAACCTTCACCGGAACCTCGGTTCCGGCTTCGCCCTCCGGAGGGATGCACATCAGCGTCTGAGGGAGAGACGAAGACATCAGAACCAATATAAGACTCCTGTCCCAGAACCATCTGGAGGCCATCTCTGCTCCTGGTTCTGCTCAGGAACCCAGTGGGACCAGAACTGGGTCAGAATCAGGCTGAGGCCTTGGTTCTGGTTCCATAAACCAAACCCTCAGCCGTTTTCTTCTGTTTCCTCACAGACTGGATCCCCACTAACGCAGAAACACTGAACCTTCACGCTGCGGGAAACAGCAGACGGTACCCGTTGCTATGGAAACCGGGGTCTGAGCCAGACACTGAACCCAGTGAGATACAGGCTGGTGGGCGGCGTGAGAAACCAGCTGACTGTGGGTTCTGACGGGCCAAGAAGGTCCAGTTTGGTTCAGCTAACATTAAATCTACTAAATAAGTTTCTAAAAAAACTAAAACATTTTTTTACAGAAATCAGAAAAGTTATTTTTTGGGTTAATAATTGAACTTTTTTGAGCTCAGATTGGAGAAATTTATCTCTGCATTTAACCCCTCCCCTTGGGGAGCAGAGGGCTGCCATTATGCGGCGCCCTGAGAGCAGTGTGGGGTTAAGGGTCTTGCTCAGGGACCCAGAGTGGCAGTCTGTGGGAGTGGGGCTCGAACTCACAACCTCTGGATTCTAAGCTCTGTGTCTGGGGTAGCCATTTAAAAATCAGCGAGGACCAAATAAAGAAAATCATCAACCAGTA